ATATATATATATATAGAATAAATATATAGTCAAAAAGGCGATGGATTGTGACGTAAAGTTCATCTCCCCGTAGGTTTTAATAATGTGCATAATATGCTGTGTATTTCTTTCCTTCCCAACTTGAACCTGGATCAGGACACTCACCGGAGATGACTGGAATGTTGGCTTTGCAGTTGTCCGATTCCTGTAAGAGAACAACACAATTCAACATGTTTGTCTGTTTAGAAGTGAAAGGAGTAGAACTTGTTTTCAAAGCCCGTCAAGACAGTGTCGCATTCCACGTTGCACATATACAGAATATGTCTCGTTGTGGAGACGTTGAAAAGCGCACAGGCCTAACAAGTTCCCAAATCAACATTCCTACTGTGCTGAAAACCTAGATGTATCACCTGTTTTTAATTCATATATAAATACTGTCAACCTTTCCTGTGGTAGGTACTAGGCTTCCACCTGCCATCTTTGTAGTTTAAAGCAAAAACACTGCCATCTGAGGCATTTTCAAGAAGGTAATGTGAATTAATTTCAGTCTTAAAGAAAACAAAATTACTGGATAATATCTCAAAAACATGTTTACATTTCACTCATCCCTTTAAAATGGATGACATCATTTTAATCTCTTCAAGAAAGAAAGTAAAAGTGAGAGCTACATCATTTAAATGAAACGTTTAGAGGAATACTTTCATCTCCACACATTCAACAAAAGGGACTGAAATCAACCTGGGTACTGTAAAATGATGCACCCTCCATTAAGAATACGCACATGGGGTGGTAGCTAGTCACATACACGGTTACACAACAAAGAGTTCAGTAAACACACAATCATCCCCGAGAATTAAACCACATATGACCTTGTGCTGGCCATAAATTACTTCCTATATTAATTATAACGCCTCTATATGAGACTTTCCTTAGCTACAAAGACGTGTTGTTGTAAAGAATTAACATTTTCGACCCTTCTCTGGCACTGACAGGCCAGATAAACTTTGTATCGCTTGTATGCTGATTTGCTACTCCTTGCTTTCACCAAACTCAGACCCTCCTCGCGTACTTGTCTTCGGTTCAATCCGAGCACTCTGATTGGCCCACGGCCGCTGTCACTCTAACACAGACTAATCCCATTGGCCGAGAGAGAGGCTCCGTTTCGCAGACACACCCACTGAGCACACAGCGCTTTAACCGGTAGGCCTCTGAGTCACAGCACAATCCCCGGACTGTCCTGACGGTAAACCCCCAACCAAGCTCACCTGCCGGCCGGTGTCCTGTTGCCGCTGTTGATGCCGCTGACTGGGGAAGACATCCCACCGGGGCCCGAGGTTCCGTTGGACGCCTTTCTCCCGCCTGAGCCGGGTTGCTGCTGTTGTTTCAGCATTGCGAAGCACAAGGCTCAGACAGTACCAAGTGTAAAGCTAACTTACAAAACACCGATGCCTCTCGTTGCTTCGAAAGCGAACTATGTTTATCAATATCAGCTGTCTTGAAGAGCGCAGAGCCGGTGTAACCTCAATAACACCGGCTATTGTAGCTAATCTTGCTAAGTGAACACCAGTCGCTTGTGGCCTAAAATGTAAAAGCTAAAGACCTCGCTGTTTTAATTAAATGCAACATATAACTTAACAGTTCTCTCCCCCCCCCCTACAACAACTATCTACTCTGTAACCACGGCGGTTATGTCAAAACAAGCGACTAGAAAAGAAAAAAAATAACGACACGAGTTTCCGTATAATTATTTAGCAATTGCCTAGCCGAGTTAGCATTAGCTTTGATCCTCAAGCTCACTTCGGGATTTACTTTCTTCTTCTTCTTCTCTCGGTCGCGTCGCCTTAACTCCGGCACCGCTGAGCCTTCCGTTAAAAAACAAGGTCTCCGCGTTGCTGTCAGTTGCCTCGAGAAGTCAGATGTATTCAGGTTTCTCACTGAAAACCTGCTGCGGTCGGTCAACACCACCTCTCGGTAGCTTCACTTGACTCAATCCGCGCGCGGCTGACTGGAAACCGGCACGAGAGAGGGAGGGGGGGGGGGGGGGGAGCGTGCGCGTGCGCCTTTGACCTACTAGTTGAG